TTCAAGCTCAATCCCAACGAGCCAAGAAGCAGGATCTCCGGTTTGCTACACCTTCACTTTCAGTTTCCGAGTTGCTAGCTTGAAGTCATTTAGGTGAAGTGAGCCTAAACTCTGCTTTGGGAACTTAAATCCTTCCTTTCAGAAGAGAAAACAGACTTAGAAGACTCTGGAGTGAAATATCAAGGATTGAGCCCTTATTAACCGAATAACCGATAGCCAATGTTGAGGTCCGACCCGACGGCGCTAACGAGGTTGTTCATTCACCACCTTGAGCCAGGAGTCTAGCCTAATGGCTAAGGCATCAGCTTTCGAAAGTATCTGTCTCAGCCAATGTCTATCAGCTCATACTCACTCTTGATCGCCCACATTCTTCTGATCCTATCATCCAGAGTCTGAAACAGGACATGGGATTCTATTAAATCATTGGCCTTTTCTTTCAAAAAAAAGTTTCACCATCTTCCCTGTCTCCCCATCATAAATTCAATGAGGTTTTTTCTAGAACCGGAAATGTATTGTCGCAAATTCATTTGTTTTTCATTAACCAAAATTTTGCTTAGAAAATTTAAATGAGAAATATAGTTGATAAATTTTGTTCCCCCGTGGGCAGTGCCCACCACTTTGTTTTATATGAAAAATGTATTCTGAGAATACGTTTTTCAATTAATTTAATTGAAAAACGTATTCTCAGAATACGTTTTTCATGTAAAATAAAGTGGTGGGCAGGTGAGCGGGACTATATAGTTGACATCCATCAACATGTTTTCTCATCATCTTTTACAAAGCTTTTTATTAAGTATGCAGAAATTTTTTTCACTTCGAACTCTATTGGCCAGATATTAATACAAGTTTTTTTCTAACTTATAATGAAATGTCTTTTTCTTCAAATTTTTCAATAAAGATTATTTCTTTGGTTTTATTAATAAAATTTTCTGTCAAACACACTATACTTTTTATACCTACCAAATTTGTCAAAATTAATTATAATATAATAAAGGCACCAATATGAAGAAGTTATGTAGTTTGCATATGAATTAGTCATTGTTAAAATTTTACTAATGGGACTAATAATTATTCAATATATCATCCAATCATCTTTTCTATTTATGATGTTTTTAAAAAGAATGTTCGTTATTATACAACACCCAAGCATCTCATAATGTACATTGGCAATATATTGTAAGACATGTTAGAAAATCATTATTTTTCAACATATATACATAACTTATAAACTAAAATGCTATATACAAAAAAAACAACATAAATAAAATGTTATATATTAAAAAAACAACATAAATAAAATGTTATATATTAAAAAAATAACATAAATAAAAGTAAAATAGTTCATAATATAGTTATTTATTTTTGTCGAAGAAGTATGACGGACTGACTCCCACACGTAGAAGGTGTATTCAATTAGGATTTCTAAGAGCATGTTTGTTTACAAGAATTTTCAAAAAACTTTCAACATTTTAACTCAACCACTTTTTTTAACTCAACTTTAACTCAACCTTACTTTCATCAATATTATCAATATAATTAAATAATATCAATCAATCATTCATACACACCACATCAACCTTAATTTACTATTCATCAACTCACAGTATTTTAACTAACTATCACTTCAATCATCTCTCTCCTACTTTTATATCAAATCAATTTTAATTATTTTATATTAAATATTATTTTAATATACCCACTAACAATAACCATACAACTTTTTCAAAATTAATCAAACCAAACAAAAAAAATCCAAACAAACCCAAATTTTTTCATAAACAAACATGCTCTAAGGGCTTCTTAAGACTATAGAAATCCTGGTATATTCAATTAAAGTTGGTAAGACTTAAAAATTTTGGAGTATTCAATTGAGATTTTAAAAAGTCTTATAAAATTCTGAAATATTTAATTTATTGGATATTAGGATTTATTAACACTTTTTAGTGGGATTTCTA